CTCTCTCTCTCTCTCTCTCTCTCTCTCTCTCTCTCTCTCATATTATCTCCCTCTTCCTCTCTCTTTCTCTCTCTCGTATACTTGGAGTCAAATCATTGTATTCTCTATGCCACTCAAATTCACAAAATAGACAAATACTCCCCTTTAAAAATAACTTTTGAAATTGTAAAAGTCAATTCATTTACAATCATTTTCTTGGCAACTGTTGCACACAAGGCATTGCAGAAGAGATTATCAGAGAAGGGTGTTATAAAACAGTAATGATACACATTCTGTGAGCATGAAAGGGCAAACCAACGTAAGACCATATGACTCAAGGGTTTGCCTGGTCAGCCCTCCACCAACAGTCACAAACAACTTCTAAAACATTTAGGTGGAAGGGAAGTGGATAAAGAACAGTACGTGCTTCTAGGGATGAGTTGGGGTTCATATCGGTGGGGGGACAATAATTGAGATATCATTTCATTTTAGTGATTAATAATTTTATGATTTTTATTCCTTTTTATTTGGGTTTATTGAGATGGGCTCTCCCTCTCTTGGCATAAAGCCATCTTCTAGGCCATATTTGGCCAGACAGGCAGATACACACAAACACACACACAGGAGGCAGCGTGACCCCGGCTGTCATCATCCTGTTACAGGGAGATGCATAGCTGTGACACCAGTAGTATGAAGAAAGCGAGAACACACGTATGGCTGGACTGACGATAAAACAATGACCTAAAATATTTCTTAGGTAAAGACTGAGGTGCAGACTCGGTTTCTGAACAGATGACAATGAACTATTGTAATTCCATTGGTTAAATTAGAGACACTCTCAAATTCAGTTCCACTTCCTAATATTTTCTTTAAATATTCTTGACTGTGGCAAAATAACACATTGTTTTAGTAGTTTTCAGGATCTTTTACTTATTATTTTGACTGTTTACATAAGTTTTCAATCTAATAGATATTGATTACAAATATGAAATCTAAATAAAAGCTACATGTCTTATATTGTATTAATATACTTATATGCACTACTTATTTCTTTCAGGTAATATTACTCAAAATGAAGAGAAATTTGAATTAGATGGCTTTAAACCCAATGAAAAATATAATTGTACTTCAGAAATAGTCTATAATGGCTATAAAGTTACTGAAAAAAAGAAAACTATTAAAACAGATTTTGGAAGTAAGTATATTACTTACATTTATGTATAAAATTTCTTTTTATATCCTTATGATTTTTTGAGAATCACAGAAAATGATGTTATACAAGTGGAGAAAGGGTTTCAGGAAGTGGATTTGTATCATTTTTTTAAAAGTAAAACTTAGAAATAAATGACAGAGGATCCAAACCTCTGTCAAGTTTTTTGTTTTGTTTTTTTTTTGCAAATTGTAGACTGTTGTGAGGTTGTGGTGGGAGCGACACTGGAGGTAAGTGAAGTATTTGTTCACTCATCACCCATTGCATCCCCCCTTTCCCCTGCGCATCACTCCTTGTCCTATGGTGCCCTCTGCCCTCTATCAGATCCTGCCTCTGAGAGAAGTAAAGCGAGCACATCTGCTAATAAAACAGTGCTACATCCAAGAATTGACAGCAAAATAATTATTGTTATTCCTAAAGTGCCAGCAGTATAGATAGGAATAATACGAATATAATAACTAATAACAATTGGAAAATAAAATTCTGGAAAAGAAGAGCTTTTGGGAGATGGAGGAGAAAAGAAAGGGCAAAGTGCTAAAATCCCACTCTTATTTAGTAGAAGTAGAGAGATTCCAATTAAATTTGAAAACTTCTAGAAAAAAGGTTAGTTATGTGTGTGACAATTTACGAGTGACCAGTAAAAAAGGAAAGCCAAAGAAATAGATGGTATTGCTTATAAGCAGTAGAAGAAAGTTATGGAACTAAAAAAAAAATTTCTACATGTTAGAGGAGTAAAAGGTGGTGGAGAAAAGGAAGAAGGAGGGGAAGAGGAAAGAGCGAGAAACAGAGGGAGAGGGTGAGAGAGGGAGGGAGCAGGAGAGGAAGGAGGAGGAAGAAGAAGAGGAGGACTTTATGAAAACTGAACATTCTTACTCTTTGAATAAAGCCATTAAGGAAATAAAAAATTAAGCTATACATTGTGAACAACAACAACAACAAAATCCACAATTAAATTTTTCAACAAAGGGAGTTTTTCCAAAATATAGAGAACGCTTTCAACTACAAAATGAGACAGCAAGTAACCCAATGAAAAATGGACAAATATTTTGAGCATATGTTTCACAAAAGAAGATGTATGAATGTCCAATAAGCATATACACAGATGCTCAACATCATCAGTTACCTGGGAAATGCAAATTAATGCAGCAATGAGATGATAACATTACACACTCACTAAAATGGCTAAAATTAAAAAGACTGACGATGCTGTTGGTGAGAATGTAAAGGGATAACCCAGAAATGCCACTCCAGGAATTTGCCGAAGAGGAAAGAACACGCCCTCGTGTAGACTTCTACACAAACATTCATAGCAGATTCATTCATAATAGCCAAAAGGCTAGAAACAACCCAAATATCCATCGACAACTGAGTGAAGAGGGAAAACGTGGCTCATCCTTACAATGGACTGCTCCTCACCAAAGTCAGGGACTAACTACAAACTCAACAGGAGCGAGTCTCTAGAACATTGTGCTGAGAGGATTATGCAAGATGTGGAACGTACTTGCTCTGACTTTGCCTATGAAATGCATGAGAAGGCAAGTTTAGTCTGCAGTAACAGAAGGTGGTTCCGAGAGTGTTTGGGGTGGGGCGAGGGAGCAGAGTTGGCTGGGAAGGCACAGGACTTCTTCAGATGATACAAATGTTCTATGTCTTGACTGTGACGCTGGTTATATAGGTGTCAACCCTCATCAAACTCTACCTCAGATGGGTGTGTGTTAATGTCAACTACGCCTCCTAAATTTGATGTAAGCATTTATTACATTCTTCATCTCAACTTCTGATGACTTGTGACTAGAAGCAATGACAAGGGTCCTTTCAAATAGTGAGCGCCCCCAACAACAGATTTTCAATACAGAGAAATCTAGAAATCCGAAGGTAACCGGACACGAATATATATGAGAGATAGAGGGAGCTCTTAGATATTTTCAAGTCAGGGGAATGCGTAGGTATCCAAGTGCCACCCTGGAGTGACCTTCACTCTGCTAAATGACCTCTAAAGCAAGTAACATGACCAGGTGTCTTTCATCTAATTTCAATAATTAATTCATAATTAATTAAAATATGGCTATTAATAATGCATGCTTATTCTATAAAGAATGTCCTCTCCACGTCCTAATTTTTATTTTTATTGTCTTTCTTTCAACAGCTCCAGACCAGCCTCAGAATTTGACATGCCTTGTTCAAAATGAGAATTTCACCGTGGTTACCTGGGAACGTCCTTCAAATATTTTCCATAATTATATTCTTTGTAGTAATGCTTCAGGTAATTTGTATAGAATTTAATTCCATATTGGGAAAGAGAAATCAAGAATTGGAAAGCTAGAAAGGAGGGTGAAGTCCTGAGTCCCGAAGCTGTCTGCATAGCGACAGTGAGTGTGTCCTGTTGCAGTGGTGGCTTGAGCACGGCTCCTGGTCACTGTGGGCTCCCCTGTCCGGCTGTGACGATGGCCCAGAGCGTCCAGCCTGCCTGCCTTTCTTGATCGGTCTCAGTTCCAATCTTCACACTCCACAGCCTGGAGAAAGGCTATCTCTGAGAGTAATACACATTCCTGTCCTGCAAATATTATACAAGTGAGTTACACGGGTTTGAACTCGTTACTCAGGCCCACAAACACCTTCTAAAACTTGCACGAGTTTCATGCATGCAAAATATTGGGTGAATTAAAATGAACAGACACCCATGTAGCCATGGAAGCCAGTTTGATGGCAGGTGGACTCTTGGGATATAGTTCTGGTTAGAATCAGGTGTCTGTGGTAGCAAAGGGTCAGGGACTAGTTCAATCCCAAGTCCTCCAGATGAGAGAAGAAACATCTTCTGGGTGACTGGAAGTACCTCAGATGCTTGGAGAAGGCATGAGCATCCTTGGACCATGTCTGAGCAGACGGGTCCAAGTACCTGTAGCTGGAGGTGGGATTCTGCGAAACCTCTCGCTGAACTCCGTCCTCCTTGGGTGGTCCAGGAACTAGACACACATTCCGAATTTGAAAAGTAGAAAACTGCCTATCTTCAGGGTCTTACTTTATATTTCGAGAACATATTGTCTTGGCTGGTTGCCTGAATCTTAGTAATCGAACTACTAAAGCAACGTTAAACACACGTGTAGTTTTTAAGTTAGCATAAGAGGACTCAAGTGCTGTGGACGAGAAACATCGGCAAGGCGCTTGAGGCTCCTGGTAATTAATTACAAACGTTGGGTCTATGAGGAAAAGGAAGTGGGAATTCCAGGAAGATAAACCCGCAACACGATTAGATGCTGCCTGCCTCCCTGGGCAGCCCTCGGACAAGCTCTTGGCTGGGCTTCTTGATGGACGCATGGTCTGCGTTTCTCTTCTCTGAATCTTCTTCTCGCTTCTCCTCACTTCCGGTACTCTCTTTATTCTAGCGAAGTTTGTGTGCCAGAGTATAGGGTGGAAATTTATGGGGCAATGTTTATTGTTCCTTTGTATTCTGTACCGTGTAAAATACTCAGTATTTGCATAATGAGGCTTAGAAGGACATAATGAGTTCGTGATCAGCAGTCTGATGAGGTTTTGTTTTGCAACTAGTACTAGCTTTTTTGTGTTTTTTAATTTTGGTTTTGTTGTTTTGTTTTGCGTTTACAGCTACTATCGTCCCTTCTTATTGAGTGGGACTGAAATGTATGACTATCCAAATATGACACCTAAGCAGGATGGGCGGGGAGGCAAGGGGAGAGGGAGGCGGGCAGTGTCAGGTTCTGTGTGTGTCGTTTTCTCCCAAACTGTTCACTGGTAGCAGAATCCAGCCTCTGCCCGGGGTTATGCGCTCACGGTGCTGCCGGGTGGGTGTCTTTGGACGCTGCCCACATGCTCCGCTCTCCCTCCTAGCGGTCAAAATCAAGTACCCTGAACAGAGGGGTACTTGGCCTTTCTTCTCTTGTTCACCTGAAACATACGCAGAGCGAGACGGGCTCCCGCTTTACTGAACTCAGACTTGATAGGATTTCAGCTTTGGTAAAGCAATTATTTAAGCTACTCTCATGATTTCAGGTAAAATCACTATTAAAAATCCACAGGAAGAAAGTCTCTGAACTGTTATTGCAGCTTATATTATGTTTTAATTAGGTACTAAATTTTATTTCATTATTTCATAATGCATCCATTTCAGTGTCTCTGAAAGCTAGGGATTAAAGTGGAGGAAAAATGTAATTGACATTTATTTCATTTCCTCTGTCTGTCGGGTACTTTTATAATGTTTGAAGATTTTGTTAAACCTTTCAATAACAGCTCTGAGAGGAGAGAGTCGTAAATATTTTCATAGCTCGTGTGACACAGCTGGGGATCACAGAAGTTAAGATAAACGATCAAATGGAACAGCCTGAACTGTGCTCTTTTTGCAACTGTGTTTTTCACGCTTTTAGCTCGAGATACTGTGGGCAAACGCAGTTTTGTATATTAACTTGATGACAAGTGACAGTGAAGCTTCCTCAATAATGGAGGAACTTTGTTGCATTTTGAAGAACTGTTTTTCAAAAATTATTGAAACCGGTGTTCACCCTTCAAGGTCACAGTGATGCCTGCTGGAAATGTTTGTTTTGTTTTTTTTTGTTTTTGTTTTTTACAGAAAATGATCTCTTTTTTTTAATAGTCATATCTTGGTTTGTGAGCATAATTCGCTCCGGAAACAAACTGCTCGTATTGCAAGATGTTGCTCGTTTACCACGTTAAAATGTATTAGACATGTTTGCTCGTCTTGCAGAACACTCACAAACCAAGTTACTCGCAATCCAAGGTTTTACTGTATTTTAACTTTTTAGCAGCACAATATCCTGTGGGGATGTTCGGCCTGCTGTTGAAGAAGGTATTTGAGAGCAGTTCCCAGTGGGCAGCTGCTAGTGGATTTCCTGAGATATTTTCTAAAAAAAAAAACAAAGAGGTGACAAGTGACGAGGCCAGTGCTTTTCTAGCCACTTCCATGCGCCATGCATGACATAAAGGCCAGGCATGCCCCAGTCATCCTAAGGAAAAGCAAATCTTAAGCTCTGAGTCAAATAAGTCCATAACTTGTCCCCATACACCGGGGCTTCTGGGAAAAAGAGCGCAAACGCACGAGGATCCAGCCGTTCATGTAAAGTGTTTTGGCCTTTCCACCAAACCCTGAAACCTCAGCGCCTGGGTCCCTCTTTTTTCTGCGAGGTCATGGACAGGTGGCTTAGTGTCTCTCTGGCCCAGTTTTGTCATCTTCAAAGTGGAATCACATCAAGGGTGCCAACCTGTAGGGCTGTGGTGATGGCTAGTTAACTCACATACGCCGCTTAAACCAGTGCTCGGCACGCTGAGCAGTCTGGTCATGGTTACATCTCTTCTGCATCCTGCTGTCGCCACTGTCCCTGCTCTCCAGGAGCCTGCTGCCACCCTCACCTTCCTCGAACCCCTTTTGCTTGATGCCAGTTGCCTGCTCAGAAATAGTCAGTGCCTACTGATTTTTCAGCTTCACACATGCTAGCGCTTCTGCCTGAAATGTGAAACACACGTGAACAAGGTCCTATGGCCCATTGCCCCGCAGGCAGACCCTGCTGTCTCACTCAGGTTTGTCCCTTAACTCAAAACACCCACATGGTTTGTTATTTTTCTTCTTCTTTTCATCCTTCTGTTTAGTCTGGCTCATCGCTCAATGAACAGCTCAGGTGCTGCTGCCGGCGTGAGGTTTTCCTCATTTCCGCAGCCCCCGTCCATCATGGTAGCATGGCACAGGAGACCTGCTTGCTGGCGCTCAGATGCGTTCCGCATCTCAGATCCATCAGAGCAGCTAATTTCAATGGTCAAAGCTTGGAGGTTAAGGATCAGAAAAAGGTTCACTAAAAAACCATCTTTCTGAAACAGCGCAGCTCAGGACTTGCGTAACATCCACGTGGGCTGGGTTTTCTCAGGAGAGAGACCATCTTCACAGATGTCGTGAACTTATGAAGTAGTTTAGGCACCAAATTAATTACATGAAACCGTAACTTTTGAAGATTTGAGTTTGTTCATAACCATGGAATACAGTTGCCCATGACTGTGTGGACTTCTGAACATAAGGACATATTTACCTCTTAATTACTCGATTTGGAGTTGGCGAGGAATGATTTTGTGTAGACACCCAGTTAAAGATGTGGTAATCTTGACTCTTAATGACTTAATAAATGTTCCCATTTTTTCCTGAGGTCCACCATACAATCTGGATGCGAGCATGACCCAACATAATTTGTCAAATCTGACTCCTTATACATATTATGAAGTATCATTACTTGCCTACGTCGAAGGGAAAGTGCGACGTAATGGATCTGCTGTCAAATGCCAATTTCAAACAAATGCAGCACGTAAGTGATATGCTTTCATGCTTCTATGAATGATAAGGAGCAAAGCATGACCGTTTTAACATACGGTACCTCTGTTTACGCTTCATTTGTGAAATGCATTGATTTGGCATGTTTGTTTACATCTAGGGTTTAGAATAACTTAACATACAATAACTTAAGAGCTGTGTTCTCTGGGGTTCTCTGTATTCTTCAGGTATAATCATAAGCATTGTAAGACTGAAGCATGAGGGCATATTAACTGGTACAATCTGGAAGATTTCAGGCAATTAAGTACCTACCCAACTTAGATAAAAGCACATTGTCTATTGTTTTCTGTATGACCCAGAATAGTAACCGCTATCAGGCACCTAATAATGTCTCACAAAGCAGTCACTTGCTAACCTCTGCTCACCTGACCAAACACCTCATAAAACAAAACGGTTTGTCAGCATTTTCTTCTCTTTGTTAACACCGAACTACCTACTGTTTTATTTTACGGCACATTTTCCATTTGGGGTTTCCATCCCGTGGCGTTCGGCTCTTGCCACCAGTATGATGTCCCCATCGTCCCCAGGCCGGAAGGTGGGTCTGCCCCTGAGGCCAGTGTCAGGCCCTGGGAGGTCAGGGGAAGAAGTGACGCCCGAGGGTAAGGCCACAGGGACCTTACCTGGAACCGGGCTCGTGGAGGAAGCTTGTCCCCTTCAGGCTGCACAGAAAACGCTGTGTGGTTTGGGGTTAAAGAGCCCACGTCCTTGAGCTTTTTTCTCAAGTGCTTGTGCTGTTTTCCTGAATTTCTGTGATACCACAGAAAACAAGGAAAATTGGCTGCCAATCCTGGAGAATCCAGCCAGGTAGGCGCATGCCTGGATGACGTGGGCACGTCGAGAAAGGAGGACATGGGTGTGTGGAGGCCCCTGGGGTTCCCCGTCACCCCTCTCCCTCTTTCTCTGCCCTCTGACCCGACAGTCCCCTTATGGGATGACACAGACTCGTTACTTCAAGGACGGCTTCTGTGCTCATTAACCTCCACTGAACGACCAGGCGGTTCTTTTTAGGTGTCTTGTGATGTATGTGCTTTTTCACGTATGTACTATCCTCACTTCCCTGCCCAAATGAACACTTACAATAGATGACAGTGTGCCCATATAACATCAAGTAATCTAAATAGGCGCTTGCCAAACGATTGCAGTAACAACTCTTTCCTGCCTTTGATAGCGTCAGGCGTGGTCAAGAACTTAAAGGTTTTGCTGGTGTCGGATAACAGTGTGAATGTGACCTGTGAGCAGCCTGAGCACTTAAACGGCCCCAACACAGGCAGCTATCATTTGAAAGTCAAAACCGGGACCAAGCTTGAAGGACAAGACAAGAACAAAAGGTGCAATTTCCATGTAAAAGATCTTTACTATTCGACATCATACACGTTTGAGGTAAGATTATGATTTCTGTGATTGCGATAGTGCTGACATACATGATAACGATTATTATGTAAGACCTGACATGACGAACACCAGTGCATCACATGTCCAATGGCGTCACACTTACAGAGGCTTAAAAGTTGGACTCCAAACTTTTCACCCCTGGTACTAACCACCGTAGTTTAACGCAAATATTTTGCTGGCATTTTTTTGACCTTCAATATGATATCAGCAAATTACCTTTCTATTATCAGTATATCATATATTATCAATAGGGCCTTCAATATAGTATCAACATTCTGAATACACAGTTTGGCACGCTTCGTGCTATTTCTCACTCTCTACTAACTGTACCCATTTTGGTCTCTGTTATAAATAATTATTGTTAAACATGCTTATTGGTAAATAGCAGGCCCTTCTTTCTCTTTGATGTTTAGTCAGTGATATATGGTATTGGCATCTCTTTTTGTTTTGCTAGGGTTTCTTTATTTGCTGTTGAGGACAAATACAGTTTTTGTTGCTGCTGTTATGGTTCCTTGCTCATTAGTGCCTTTGTCCAGTTTTCTTTGGGGAAGTTTTTTGGATATTAATGATATTAAACTCTGTCATATGAGTTGCAAATTTTGTTTTCAGTTTATTGTTTGCCTTTTTTCTTTATAGCACTTTAAGTTATACACAATTTTCCCTTTTATTATTATTTTTTTAATTTAATTTTTTTTTAGCTGAGCCATCCTGCCACCTGTTGGCAGCTCAGCGGCTGCTCAGCTCGGGCTGGGTCTTGAACCACTGTTGCTCAGAGCTCACACTCTTGAGTGAGCTCTTAACCAACTGAGCCACTCGGCCGGCCCTTCCTTTTATTTTTATTCAGTCAAATCTATAAGTTACTTCTAGTTTAATGGGAATTTCCATAGTTGACTGTTTAATATGATGTTGACAATTGGTTTCATATACTTTATCACTAAAAAAAACCCTATTTTTAAACATAGATACATTTTTATACAAAAAAACAAGTTTTCTTGTTTTTTGGTTTTTTAAACTAGAAACATAGGTTGGATGTTATCAAATGTATTTTATGATGCCATGGCGTGATTTCTTTATATGGTGAGTAATAGTGATAGGTTTTCTAATGTTAAATCATTGTCATATTCCAAGAGAAAACTCTGCTCTGTCATTGGGTATTTTTGTTTTAAAGAATTATTGAATTCAACAGCTTAATGTTTTATTAAGTCTTTAGAAACAGACATTCACAAATGAAGTGATTTAGAAAGTGGTTGGAGGAGGTATTGATATAGGCGTGGGAGTTATTCTTGTTATGTTTTCGTAGAAAGGATATGCTAACCTGATAAAACATCGAAGACATTTTTCTGTTTTTCTATGTTTTATAACTTTATAGAGGCTAGGAAGGGTTTTTCTCTTGGAGAATTTTGTTTTAGTAGTGTCTTTAATGCAGAGAGGACTTCTTTAAGAGCATTTACATTTTCCCTCAATATGATTACTCTTTTCAGATATTTTAGACTTTTTTCAGTGAGTGGGCCCTCCAAAGAATAGTTCATGTAAAAGAAGTATTTTGTGGTCCCTATCTTGTGCCTTCTACCTCATCTCTCAGCGTTCCCTCAGTGCCCATCAAGCTCCAGGAACAATGATTTCTTTTTTTAATTTCTCAAACACACCCAGGTTTAGGCCCTTAGGCACTTTACCCGATGATCTTCTCCCTTTCCAGCATTTTCTTTTCCTGTTTCTCAAATATGGTTAAGTTATTCTGAAAAATTATAGGTAAACATCATGTTAAAATACAATCATAAAAAAAAAATACAATTGTAGGGGAGGAGGGTTAGCACTTTGTGAGGGGTGAAATGTCTAACTATTACATTGTTTTGTACACCTGAAACTAATAAAATAAAAATAAATCTTAAAAAAGACACATTAAAAGAATCAGTGAAAAAAATAAAATACAATCTTAAAATTCAAGTGAGGAGGTAATTATTCAGCCATCCATTCTCTTCCCCACTCTTCAGAAGTCTGTCTTGTTTTCTTCATTGCACGTGCCATGACTTGTTTTTACGTTTATTTCATTTCTACTACATCTTCACGAGGGAACAATCATTTTAGCTTTGTTCATCATTATGATCGCTGCTTGATAAATTAATAAAGTTATTTTTATTGTTAATTTATTACTTTTCTTTTTGTAGGTTTGTTTTCATGTTTTTCTGGTAGTTTTGGGGTTGATAGTGTTTTCTGCCCATTTAATTTTTTTTTTCTTTTTTAGTAACTAAAAAAATTAAAACTTTGGTAAAATTTTGACTGTATCCGATTACTTGTCACTATTACTTGTCTCTCTTGTCACTAATTTCTCCATGACTGACATAAAATTTAATGAGTAGATTTTTAGAGTAGAATGTTCTTACTATTGAAAATTCTAAAGAGTTTATATTATAATTCAGAAGAGCTTTTAATTGATCTGTTTTTTAAGCGAGTGCTTCTACATTTCTGGTGCTTGAAATTTTTTTATTGTTATTAGTTATTAGGTTATAAAAGATCATTGGTTTTTACACTTTCTGCCTTTTGGAATTTAGAGTATTTTTTATAGCTCAGTCAGTGGATGGTACGTGTTTATGAATATTCTGAGACTAGTGGGGAAATTATACATCGTCCATAGGATAAAACCTTAGATACACATTTTTCAGGTGTATCATAGTTAGTGATCTTTTTAAATGATATTATTCAGATCTATTTTTACTTACATTTGTTTTTTGCTTTTATTGCTTATTGCTTTCTTCTTGTCAGTTTCCCTGTATATCTAAATTGTTTTTGCTTTGTTTGTATTCAGTATTATGAGACACAGGTATTTATGGAGTTGTGTCTCTGCTGTAGGTTTTACCCTGCTCACTCAGGGCATCAGCCTTAATCATTGTAACCGTGTGAACAACTATCATTTTACTGTAACTATGGTGATTCTGACATTATAGTGTTCCCATTTACCCTTTGAAAAATTTGTGTGCATGTTATGTGTAATTCTTATAAACAGTATATGGTAGAATTTCCTTTTTAAATAAAATGTGAAGATATTAGCCTATTAATAGGGAATTTAACGTTAAATTATGAGTATTTTAATGTGCAGGATTTTATTCCTTCAGTTTCACTTGTTCTTGCTGTTTACAATTATTATTATTATTATTGCTAAGTGCGCTAAGATTTCTTTGTATCTTTTTCACTATTAAATATTTTCTTTTTAAAACTATTTGATAAAATATTGACATATCCCTGAAATTCCAACTTTAAATGAAAGGCAACCAGTATATTTTAATGAAAATTAGCAGCATTGTATGAGACATATTGTATGTATATTGACCTCAGAAAGTGACTTTCTTTCTTATTACTGGACTTCAGGTCTCTTATAACAACGGGAAATTTCCTGGAGTACAAGAGAGTGTTTCTCAATCAACAAATTGTAAGTCGTTACTTGGCTATAGATTATATTTATACTAACATATAATTAGCACTCACAAATATTTATTATTTGACATCATCTCATATTTAATTATTAAATGTTTGAATTGTGCATTTTTCGTAAACATAGTAGTTTATCTGAAAAAACATGTATTGGTAGGTGAACATCATATTAAAATACAGCATCTTAAAATCCAATGAGGAGATTCAATTATTAAAGGATTGTTGATTGTATAAAATAATCGTGAAAAGACTTATATCTGAGTAGAGTATGAAGTTATGAGTATGCCAGTAACAAAGCAGATTGCTCTGTGTGCTGTTTTCACTGCCGTTACCTGTTTCTCTAACTCTGCCCCTCAGGGCTGTGCTTGGCAGAAGCCGGCGTTAGACGCAAATCCGCCCTGATTTACCTAACTGAAGCTAAGATAAACCTCCCCTAATGACAACAGGACTACTTAACTTGGGTGTCTCATTGTTCTTCAAACACTCTGAAGCCAAGCCGGAGCCTGCTCCTGGCTCAGCCTCGCAGCTCAAAACCCATCGTGGCCTTACAGGTGGCTTAGGAGGCCCTAACAATCGCACCCGTGCCCTCCCCAACTCCAGCTGCCTGGAGTTCACACTGCTCCGCGGGCATGCCAGGCGGGGTCCTGCCCCACCCACACCTGTGCCAGGGCCACCCCACCTCCCGAAGTGCCTGCTTAGCTGACTTGGCTCCCTCACCGGCTTGCAGCCTTTATGCGTCCTAACCTACTCTACCATTGGCCTGATTATGATGTGTATTGTTCGTGGTCTGTCCTCTCGCCTGAGAAGACCAGTTCCATGAGAGCTGGGATCTTTGTTTTGCTCTCACAGGGATCTGAGGTGGTCAGAGCAGTGTTGGGTGCTCAGTCAGATTCAAAAATCTCTGTGGTGATGAGTGAATAATCAGTACTATGTCCCAAGCATTATGCTAAGTGTTTACTGGGAATCAGCTCCTTTAAGCTCATTGTAGGAATTAGGGAGTGGAGACACACAGTTCCCGACGGAAGAGGTACAGCCAGGATCCGAACCTCAGCCGCCTGGCTCCAGGGCGAGGTCCTGACGTCACTGGGTGATTTTGTTGTTCTTTGACTGTACATGAAAAATACCATACAGTCATTCAGGGCGAGGGGTACTTCCTGTACACCATCTTTTCTCTACCCTTCCTCCAGGAAAGGGTGTGATTTCACGTTACACCTTAGTGAAAATTTACATCAGGGTAAGTGGAATCCTAACTACAGAACCATATCATTTTTATTTTTTGGTTAATTGGTGTTATGCCTCAGTGAGCTGGTAAGGAAGTTTATGTTTGTGGGACAAAGGCCTTTCCGATCCCTCTAGGAAGCTACCCGCTTCTGCATATAAAGTTAAACTATGAGTTTTTCTCTATTATAATAACTACTGGGTTGTCGGAAAAGTCATGATGCATTTTTGCAACGAAAAACAGAAAAAAATACGTCATGACTTTTCGACAACCCAATAAATGACCTCTTTGATCCTTTCCAAAATAGAGTGGCTGAAAGCTGGAGCATTAAATCTACATGACAGTATCTCATAAGAGGACATTATTTAAAGGAAGGAAAGAGAATGGATCTTCTATATTCTAAGTACTTTCTTAAAATATAAAACGTTTTTACTGGTTCTGATTAATATAGGCAAGATTCACATCAGGGATGTATTATATTTGGTCTCATTCTAAATCTTGTTTTTTGAAAACCTGAAAATAAGTAACAACAGTAAAATCTAAGTACTTTAAAGGTGATTATTTAAAGAATCCAGCAAATTACCTGACACAGTAATAATCTCTCTTCATGTGTTATTTTTCATTTCTAGATAATTCTAAAGCATTGATTATATTCCTGGTATTTCTCATCATTGTGACATCACTTGCTCTGCTCATTGTTCTCTATAAAATCTATGATCTGCATAAGAAAAGGTCCAGGTAAGAGTTGATTTCAAAATGAAAAAAATAATAACAGAATTAACGATGCAAGCACCCACCTTGTGAGGCAAGCTGGGAACCAGTTAAGTGAAATGTGACAAGACAGAATGAAGTCCAGTTCATCAGTGAACTTTGGATCAAAGATTTTCAGTCCGGTCTTACCGGTTTATATTCAATAGTAACATTTTCTACGCTCTCTAATAAGGTTATGGGTTTCTTTTAATAATAACCAATGAATAGAATGTGTGTCTGTTCTTTTAGTACAAAGTGGGTCAGAGGGATCTAGGAATGACGAAAACAAAAGAAAGGAATGAAAATATCCAGGGAAGTAGATGTATTCCTTTGGCCAGGAACAACTACATTTTATGAAAAACAAGAGTTTTAACATAATTTAGTCACTTATCTGAATTTAGCAGGCAACCCTTGGTTGGTTTCTTCCTCCACTTTTCCTCCCCTCCTCTCGTTCCTTTTTATCCTTACTGTCTCCATTCCTTCCTCCGTTCAATACGTTCATTAAATATAAATTGAATGTCAACTGAATTCTGTTTCTTAAGACAATAGAAACTTACATTTCTTATTTTTTACAGCAACTTAGATGAACAACAGGAACTTGTTGACAGGAGTAAGTATGCATATTTTTTAATGATGAATTACCTCCCCGCTCACATTTGAAGCCATTCATTTTAAATAAGAATTCAACATTTTTTTAATCTAACCGGGACTTGCTTGATTGATACAATGATGAAGCTTAAATGTATTTATTTAATCAGCAAGGAGTAAATCCAAGATGTAAATTTAATGACATGCGTGTGAACACGGAAGAGACACATCACCCTGGCCCTAAATCTTCAATGTGTTTGCAGATGACGAAAGGCAGCTGATGAACGTGGAACCTATCCTTGCTGACGGTTTGCTGGAAACTTACAAGAGGAAGATAGCTGATGAGGGAAGGCTCTTTCTGGCTGAATTTCAGGTGTGTGCACGTCTCCATAGAATCTTGCAGCATCGTCCAAGCAGGTATTATCAGCAGATATCCACTCCCCAGGAGAGTGACTTGTAGTGAGAGAACTAGTCAATATTTCAAAATACTGCTTTGTTGTAATAATACACATTCTTAAGTTGTGTCACAAAACCTATTTGGCTGATTGCGTCCTTGTATTCTCAGTGATCATCTAAGTACGTGTTTTTCCACGAATTTTCAGTGGCAGAGCAAAGAATGCTTAATTTCCTCTCACTAAAGATTTATCCTTAAAGGATGGGATTTATTGTCAAAGTAGCCCATCCTTCATTTTCAAAGTGTTTCTTGGTGTAGTTCCTCAATGTTAATTTCAATGACCATTGTACAATGTGATCATCAGTATAAAGGACACACGTTACAGGACGTCCCCTTTCCTCAAACTGATAAGTGGCAAGGGGAAAGCTATTTTTCTTGAATATCCTGTGACCCAACGATTTTGCATCTTCCAGAGTATTCCACGGGTGTTCAGCAAGTTTTCCATCAAAGAGGCTCGAAAATCTTTCAACTTGAATAAAAACCGCTATGTTGACATTCTTCCCTGTAAGTGCCTGTGGAGAACAGGGTCCCGTGTGTTTAAGCTACTTGCTTATTCATCATCTCATGAACTTATATTTCCTTTCTCTGAACAGATGATTATAACCGCGTGGAGCTGTCTGAAATCAACGGGGACGCGGGGTCAAACTACATCAATGCCAGCTACATCGACGTGAGTTGACATGCCTGTAACCGCCAGCTTACTTCACGTCTTCATCCTTTTGTCCTCCGTCAGGGTCACTTCCTTTGTAGCTTGCTTTCCGTTCAGTTCCTTCTGGGTCATGGCAAAATTTTAGAAATATTAACTAGAGAGAGTTTGGAGGAAGCACATAATGTCAGTGCTATTATACAAACAACAAAATCACTACAATTTGTAAGAATGGTTATTTCTTATTTGCCCTTGGTACTGGGTTTACTACAGGATTTTTTTTCTCTACAAATGAAATGATACTAAGAATCAAAATACTCTGGTGCCCAGGGCTCGATATCCAATCATGACCTAAGTGCATATTTCTCCTAAGAGCCCACATTCCCCGGTGGAGGCTGGGGGGCTCTGTCTCCTTAGGTTCCTGGCCTGGGTGTGATAGTAGGGTTTGGGCTGGGACCCAGATAGGCCTGCCGGACTCCAGACCACTCAGCCTAAGCTCGTCACATGGCGCTGCCCCCCAGCAGGGCACTCTCATGGACCAGGTCATGCGGTCATTGGCTTTATCCAAAACCAAATATCATGCATGGTGAATTTACCCCAAATAGTTAAAAATGAAATTTACTGTATAAATTCTGAAACATGTTGTTAAAATGTCAAGCAGAATAAATTCATAGAGAGACTGGAAAAAATTTTCCTCCCACTCAATGCACCAGCTTCCCAATGTCCCCACATATCAGAAGAGGTGACCTGTGTGGTTTCCTCTTTATCCAGCTGGATAATAAGGATAAACAGAAAATACCCACATTTTACAAGCAAGAAAATACCCAGCTTTGTTATCCCCCCTTTACCCACAGGTGTTAACATAACATTCACATTGTTCTGAATCATGCTTTATTTAACTAAAACATGCATGTTGGAAATATATACATATATATATATGATATCACTATAAAGACCAGGGGTCAGCAAATCTTATAGAACAAGCAATTGAAATTGAGGATTTATTTGTTTGTTTTGATCCACTTGAATATATAAACTTTTAGTGGAGTAGGTGAAATGATCAAATTATAATATGATTTTTATTAATTTACACAGTGTATTCATTTCCTTGGGCTGACTTCACAATGTACCACAACCTGGGTGGCTTAAAACAACAGAACTGTATTCTCACGCAGCTCTGGAGGTGTTAGCAAAGTCATGCTCCCTCTGAATTTTTAATTTTGTAAGAATTTAGATAGTCTCTGGGGGGAAAAAGTGTCTACTTTCTATTCCAATACATATGGTAATTATGCTATTGAATTACACTTAGGTGTCTGCAGCAGAGCTGGGCGCCCCCGGGAAGCACGCGTCTTCAGCTTTTAGACATGCACTCATCATAGTGCAGCCGTATACGTGTTGAATACATGAATAACACTAGGTCGCGAGACGTTCCTGAAATTAATCATGAAACTGTGTGGGCCCTGTGACCGAATTCCATCTCATGGCAAAGCTCTCGGTCTGAAGCGTTCTCTGATTGCTGAGGCGATCTTAGGAACGTGAGATGATTTGGGAGCAATTAGCACAGTACCGTATCGGCCTCCATGCGCCTCCTTTCTCTCGGCAGCAGGAGTGGAGAAAGCCGACATTGCAGATAATGAATGGGAAGTTGTCTGTCTTCTCTAGAATGGCTGTGAGATGTAAGCTGTGGCAGACAGGCTGTGCTGGAAGGCTGGGTTACTCTCGTGTACTGCGTAGCAGCCCACACGAGGGTGAAATCGTTTTTAAAGATTGGGGTAGACAGCCATGACATGTGAACGTCACAAATATTGTTTGTATCTGCTTACATGCTGACGGCCATGTTTGCCACAGTTAAATGCCTGATCATGAGTTAATAAACTCCCATGTCATTTGAAAATGCCCAGGGAAATCCACAGCCGAGAAATGGTGGCTCTAAAGCAACTTCCTCTAACTCCCGAGTGTGCATGTAGAGTAAGAGAATGTTCAGTAACTGACATCCCTTTGTGTTTTGAACAGGGTTTCAAAGAGCCCAGGAAGTACATTGCTGCACAAGGTAATGTGTCTCCTAGTCCAACAGCTTTCTGAAGCCGTGTTTCGTAGCGCTCTGAAAAAGGTGTCTCTTAGCTTGCACGTGTTTACCTCCTAGGTCCCAGGGATGAGACTGTTGATGACTTTTGGAGGATGATCTGGGAACAGAAAGCCACGGTTATTGTCATGGTCACTCGATGTGAAGAAGGAAACAGGGTAAGGACCCAGGAGATTCCCAGGGCGCAGGTGGAGGTTAGGAAAAGGCAGTGCTGGATTGCATTTCTGAAGCCACGTATATGTGCTTGATGACGCTAACAGACTGTTCTCTGTTTGGAGCAGCATAACACTTGATTAAAAGCTTTCATAGCTGTAGAAAAAACAAAATGTGTACATCTATACATGTATGTACATATGAGTAAAATGGAAGCATTCCTGCTTAACCGCTGGCTTTAAATTGGATTCCTATTTCTTTGCAGTGTTGTCCTAAGTTCAGTCCATTTCTATATGCTGATTTCACAAGCACTTGTGAATACTTGAACCAAACCTGACCTTGGGGACATGAGTGGTAACTCGTGTGATGTGACTTTAGGAAGCGGAAAAGCCTCCCTAGCCCCAGCCTGAAATTAACCAAATCATTTCTGCTGACCCCAAGCACGTCCACTGTTAATATGCAGCTGAGCCTGGGAAGATGTAATCTCTGTGCTAGGCAGGAGGGGGGGCTCCCCCAGGACTCACTGGTGGAAATGGAAGCTCCTCTAAGCATCCGGCTCAAGGTGTATCTGTGCCTAAAGGAGAGAAGATGTCTTGAGCATTTCAGATGACTACGTTGTTGTTTAAGGAATGTTTAATGAAAAATGTATGTAAATGAAACACTGGAATCATTAACGTTTTTTTCAAAAACACAGAACAAATGTGCAGAGTATTGGCCATCGATGGAAGAGCGCGCCCGGGAGTATGGCGATGTGATGGTGAAGATTCATGAGTATAAAAGATGCCCAGATTATATCATTCAGAAGTTCAACATCACAAATGTGAGAAATTAAAACATACCTGGGAGGAAGGGTTGGGTTATAAGAGTAACACAAGCTGCCAGCCTCAGGCGAAGTCTCTGGTGAAAGGGGTATCTGTCCAAGTCCCATCAGAGTCTTCATAATGCAGGCCCTTGAAGTGGGAAGAAAGGAGCTCCATGAAGTGTGTTGCATTATGAAGTGAATTATTGACTGAATGACAAAATGGTCCCTAGTCTCAATGTGCTTATTACCATTATGGAAAGAATATTTATACAAGTGGGACAATTGGACACTGCTATAAGAACTATCAGGTTCTGTGTAGGAGAGAGAAAGCGTTTAGTTTAGAAAAGAACAATGAGTATGGTTTTGGCGAATAGTTAAAACAGAGGCCTTCTCACGTATGTGTGATTCCACTTGTGAAAAGTCAGAACAGGCAAATTGATAGAGACAGCAAGTTGGTAAGTGGCTGCTCAGGGCTGAGGGGGTGGGACAAAAGTTAAGGATGACTGCTAATCAGTGTTTTTTTTGGGGGGGGTAATGAAAATATTTTATAAATAGAGAGTGGTCATGATTTTACAACTGTGAATACAATTAAAATTTTACACTTAAGATGAATGAATTTGGTGGTATATGAAAAACATCTTAAAGCTGTTAAAAATTGGAGGTCTTTATAGATAAGGTTGAAAATTTCTCTAAATTTCACTTAGTGGAGGGTTTTCAGTAATCTAAATTGTACTTCCATATGCGGTCCAGATATGTACATTTTCTGCCATAAAAAAACCACCAATTGTGTATTTATCCCAAGGTTTTCTGAGTCTCTTGTTGTTTCACTAATTGTTGTACCCATGGAAGGCTGTGGAAAAATCTACCAATGGTTCATGGTTAAAAGATGGACTGAGCTACAAATGTTCCCATCCACAGACATGGGTGATGGGTACAGCTGGACGCCAATCTGGTTCTGTTGGCTAGCGTGACGTCACCATTCTTAGTGCAGCTATTTGGTACCAGAGAAGTAGGACCCACCAAGTGCTGCTGTTTCTCCTGTTACCTAAACGTGGGTGGTTCCCCTTTCTACCTGGTCAGAGTTATGGATTACGCATGTTCTAGCCGTTACCTTGCAACTGGGCCAAGCAAGAGCTGTGACCAGGGGCTGCCCTTTCTCAGCGTTCTCTCTCCAGTGGACATTTCTAAGACGAGGGGGCCTAAGAAGTAGTGTTAATCAAATCATTAGTGAGGCTTTCTTCACATGACCAATAGTCCTGTTTGCGGGTCTACCAAGCAGAAGGACTTCAATCAGCCGTGAGGATGGCCTTCACTTTATATCTTTCCACACCCCCTCACCCCCATTTTCTTGTGTATTTGTTTTTATCTGTTATTGGCTTGGCAGCATGAACGTTCTAGCAGTTTCAGCTACACCTACAACAGGGTACTTACCTTACGGGTAAGTCATTGCTTACAGGTTAGGGCGTGCTGATGCCGCACGCCATCTCAGAGACTGGTTATTAACTGGAAAGGAACACGTAACCATCGCTGGAAAAAAACGTGCACGAGCAGTTTTTGTACTGGTCCCCTCTTCTATTTATTTATGTCAGGTAGTTGGCTTTGGGGAAAAAAAAACAAAAAACCCCAGCTCAAAGAAAATATTATCTTTCAACCAGAAAAGAGAAAAGGCAACTGGGAGAGAGGTGACCCAAATTCAGTTCACCAGCTGGCCGGACCATGGGGTTCCCGAGGACCCTCACCTGCTCCTCAAGCTGCGCCGGAGAGTGAACGCCTTCAGCAACTTCTTCAGCGGCCCCATCCTGGTGCACTGCAGGTAGGCGGGGCCTGTCCTGGAGGGTGGCAGGTAGGCGGGGCTCTGGAATCGCAGCCTGGGCCCCCAGGCCAGCCTCCCCGGGGCAGTGGCTTTTGTGGGACCGTCTATAAGGAGATGCTCATGCTCTTTCCTCCACCTCACCTGTCTGTCTGTGTCATCAGCGCTGGGGTCGGACGCACGGGCACCTACATTGGCATTGACGCCATGCTGGAAGGCCTGGAGGCCGAGGGCAAGGTGGATGTCTATGGCTACGTGGTCAAGCTCAGGCGGCAGAGGTGCCTGATGGTTCAAGTAGAGGTATGCTGGGCGCCTGCTGTCCCGCTCAGATCTTCCAGGGGAGGGAGTAAGACCTTACAGCGCAGCCAAATCCTGCTCCGCTTCCCACAGCAGGTGGAAAAGGTTTTCTTTCAAGTTCCTGAAAACTGAAGCGTGTGGTAAGCATCCAGCATAGTCAGAGGTGTTTGTCATTAGTGGCTGGAAGGACCATGGAATAAAGGTGACTGTAAAGCATATTTTAAAAATAATGAAATGTCATCTTCACATATCAGATTGGGGAAAAAATAAAAATACTGAAAAGCAATTCAGCAGCATCTCACACAATTAAAACTGGGGCAACAGAATAGTATCGTGGTTCAGAGCCTGCCCGGCTGTTAGAACTAGACTCCTGACGTTCATATTTTGCCTCCAGTTCTTAATACTGCACACACCTGCACAGGTGTTCAATGTATGGCCCAGGTTAGTCATGTGTAGTGTGGACGTAACCATAATACGTACCCTGTAGAGTTACGACAAAAAAGGCCATCTGCGTACAGCCCTTACACAAGAGCCTGGCGTGTGCATGTAGTGACTGCACGTGAGGTCCTTACTGAAAAGGTCTGCACTTGACCCCGCAGTTCCACACACGCCCAAGAGAAGCACTGACACGTGTGCACAGCCAGAAACACGTGTGTGAGTGTCCAGTGCTCTCGGCACTGTCAGAACAGCATGAAGCTGGGAACACCCTACATGTCTGTCCGTGTGGAAAGGACACACAGCATGTGGCCATGTGGCCCCTTAGTGAACAGGCCACGCTGAAGCCAAGAGGAATAATCTCGGTCTCTCCCTCCATGTGGTTAGATGCTCAGATGAGGACAATGAGTGCATGACGTCACCAAGTGAAACATGGAGGACACAATTTACGTAATTTTTAAAATGCACAAAGATGTACAATGTTTATAGGTATATAGATATTAGTGTAAAAGTATAAAAACAGGTTAGCCAGAAAAAAATAATGATTTCTTGTTGAATAAAGAATAATAGAGTTTAAGTATACAGAGGTGGTTGTGGTGAAAGAGGCTTGAACTTGATCAGAAATACATCTTTTATGTTAAAATAGTGGATTCCAATTTGATAGAAGGTTAGGAGTTATAAAATCTGGGTTTCTCATAATGTGTGTATGTGTTTAAAGAATTTTCTCTATTTTAAAGAGTTCTAGAAAACTTTAAAAAATGTGTTCTTTGGAATATCAACTTGCTATTTTTTCTCTCAGATATATGAAATTTATTATCGTGTTATGTATTAGTAATTTGACTTACTCAGTAATAGTCACTGAAGGAAGTAATAGATAATTTTTAAAAAATTTTTAGATATAAGATAAAAGCTTTTATACTACATAGGAGGTGCCTAATCTATGTAGCAAGTTTGCCCCCCCCCCCAAACTCCCTGGGAAAAAAGGTCTCAGATGGAATGTGCTCATATTCCAGAGAACTGTGAGAACTAACTTCCAGAATATTTAGTTGTTAGCGATACCAGTTTTTTTCCCCATACACACTGTCCCAAATAAGCAAAATTGGGGCGTATGTAATTTAGTCAAATGTGACTTACAGGCCATCAGCCATCAGGTGTTTTCCTGTCTTTCCTTGAACTTGTAGGCCCAGTACATCTTAATCCATCAGGCCTTGGTGGAATACAACCAGTTTGGAGAAACAGAAATGAGCTTGTCTGAATTCCACTCGTGTCTGTCCAACATGAAGAAAAGGGATCCCCCCAGTGAGCCGTCGCCTCTGGAGGCCGAATTCCAGGTAATCAGAGTGATACACAGTAAGAACAGTTGCGGAGGACGTTTGCTGAGTGCTGGCACCGTCCCACCCCCAGTGCTGTGGCGATCACACACCATTTGGTAGGGACTGGTTTACATGTTAGAAATCGGGTTCCACAGCCCACACTTTGAACCATTCCTCATTAAGCTGGTTTAAACTAAAGTGCAAAAATCACAGTACGGAGCCACAAAACCGGCCCGCCAAAGGCGACGTAGCATCTCGCCTGTAAAAGCTGCATCTGGTTTTAGTTTGTAAAGGAAATAATTAGAGCCGTTTATGACTATTTAGGAAGTTGTTCTGGCTGGAGCCATACAGAAACTGCAGCAGCAACTGAAGGATAATACGCATCCTGACCTATTTATGGGGCAATTACTCGGAGGGCTAACCCAGGACGTAGCTCACTGTGACTTCAGAGTCGCCATGACGAGCTCCAAATTGCCCTGTTGTCAAAAAAATGTCCTGTAGCTTTTGTCTTTCACCTACGATTTCCAGTTCAGCGAACCTTTCTGCAAACTACCAAACTGGTCAATTCAGAGTTTCCCAGACTAGGAACCTGCTTTTAATCAGATGCAGAATCGATGTTTTGGATCAAAGTGGGGCTGAGGTGGGGTTGGGGGGGAGAGTGCGCAGTAACCACCAAGGAAGTCCACACCAGTGGCCCTGTGCAGCCGGCAAGACCCAGCAGGACACCAGGGCAGTTTACACAGAGGCTGTTTTATTGTTCTGTGAGCCGAGAAATCAGCCTTATTCACCACACTAACCCTTCTGTCTGAAAACCTGATAAATTTAATTGAAACACTCATATGTGAAGTCACTGAAACAAGAGTAAATTCTTTCACTGAACAAACATGGCCGACTCTGGTCTGTGCTGAGTACAACGCTAGGCTCAGAAGTCAAAGCGATTTGCAAGTGGCAGCTGGACAGCGTGTGGTCCAGAGCCTGGGCAGTGTGCACAAACTGGACAGACACAGGGAAATGAGTCCATCTTCTTAGCACAAAGGAACACAGAAACTGAGCCGAGATGGAGGTTGGCTGCTCGATTTGGTGATGGGAAGCTGAGGCAGTTCTTGTGTAAGTGCTTTTTCTTAAGAAAATATGAAGCAAGGTCATCTGCTAAGAGCTTAGGAGTCGGGGGTGAGCAGGGCAGAGGAGAAGGAGAGAAAAGAAAAAGGGTTGGAAGGGCTGGGAGGGTAAAGAAATGAAGTATTGGTTTTTTCAGCACCAGCCTGGTCTTCCATGTGTGCCCTATCTGCAGAGGTGATTTCTGATCATCTGAAACCATTTACCACTGCTTTCTGCAATCTGGGTAATAAGTCACCTCTGTAGAGGGCTTTCAGCTGGTACAAGAGTTAGCCATGCTGCTTTGCTCTTAACGAGGGAGCGTATTCTGTTATATAATTGTGTGCCTATTGAGCTCAGACTCATCACGTCAAAAGTTCTAAATGCCTGAGCACTTAAAAGGAAAAATTCAGAGGCAAACTTAGATCGTGTGACCTGTAGGGAAGGTATGCAAATTTCGCAAAACTTGATGAAATACTTTTCTTTAGGGAGCGTGTTATGCCATAACCATCCACTAAGCCACGATTTCCATTTTAAAGGCGTTTTCCATTCTATTTGTCTTTCCCCTCAGAGACTCCCCTCATATAGGAGCTGGAGGACACAGCACATTGGAAATCAAGAAGAAAACAAACGTAAAAACAGGAATTCTTCCATCATTCCATGTATGTAGTTATATTTTAATTTTTAAATTTTGTATCAGATAAATAAGCTCTCTTTTGAATTTAACGTAAGACACACAAACACACAAATGATACTGAAGCACGTTTTCAACATTGGGTTGACCGTAGAGAATTGTTAGTAGGCAACCTAAAATTTAGTTATAGCAAATACTTCGAACCCCAAACATTCACAATGGACCTTGGAAGATAGACTGTACTCAGTGTTTCCTTCCTACCAATTATTTCAGACATGGGTTGTCAGACAGATGTAACCTGTGAATTTGGGACAATAAAGGCCAAGTTCTCTTACCAGTTCTGTCGCATCTTTAGTCTATCTGGGTTATTTCCTCCAGGGTGACTACCAAATAAAGGGCTTTGCCCTTTCCAACCATCTGGGAGGTGGACAGTCGGTGGAAAGTACTCCGGAAACTGCCAGTCATCCAGCTTAACAGAGCAACACACGTAGTTTTCAAGACTTGAATTCTGCTACTTAAGCATCTTGATAGGACCACATTTGGCACAGCTATAATTTTATTCAGTTGTACACGCTGAAATTAGCATGGAGAAAATATAACCCACGTTAATAAGCTGGGCAGCAGAACAAATCAGATCATTGCATGGTGGACCTAGTTAATTCCTGAAAAGTTCCTCATGAATGTAGTTTAAAATATGGACTGGATGGATGCTGATGTGGCTAATCAGATCATTTGAGCAGGTTATTAGACATTAAAGAAATTGAGAAACTCAGCAATTATGAATAAGTAATTTTCTTGACTAAATAATTTATCTGAGATACCTATTTTATGTAGTTAATTTACTGTTAATAGGGTAGAATTGAAAACTGCATTTTGACCTAAGCTATGTATTTGATTAACTTATACATGCATTTTTAACATGCCAAGCAGAATAATCATGTTTCACGGAAAACTAAAGTATGTGTATCAAAGACTGAATAATGACACAGAAGATTATGATACCTATTTGTTGTTTAATATAGAGTTATGTCCTGTGTTTTTTTTTTTTCCTGGAACCCGTTTGGGGCCTTCTTTTCCTTAGACTTCGTTGTATCAGTTGTTGATTGGTAAGAACTGAGTTTTATACATATCTCATTCCGTGTAGATCCATACATTTACATAATGCAATCTGTCCCTTCTAAATTAGTCTCTAATTTCCACGTGACAGTCAAGCAGAGATTTGATGTTTTTTAAAGGAAGACTTACTACTAATTTATTTTACACAGATGACTTTAACAGAGTGCCACTGAAGCATGAGCTGGAAATAAGCAAAGAAAGTGAACACGATTCGGACGAATCTTCCGAGGATGACAGTGACACAGAGGAGAGCAGCAAATACATCAACGCATCTTTCATAATGGTCGGTACTTACCAAAGCTCGGGGTCCAGCCCTTTAGAAAGATATCTATGTTATTATGGCCATTCAGTAGTATGTTCATTGACATGAAAGTTTCAATTTTTAATGCTGTATTTTTAACTTACTGACTTAGAGCATTGTCTTATGTTCAACATGTCCAGTTTTAATATCTCTAAGTCACAAGTTATGACAAATACACTACTGATATTAATTTGAAAAATAATTTAAGCAATCATAATTTGAGTCAATAAAAATATTTGAAAAATGTTTATATTTACTCAACTATCCAAATTGTAAGCAAATGAAATGTGCATATTTGTATAGTTGAAAACTTTTCATTCCTATTACCTGAATTTTTAGGTGAGTCTGTGTCACATACCAGACATTTACGAAAAATTGTAAATTCTTTACAACTTTTATAAACTGAGAATTCAAACAAGACACCTTTAGTCATTCAGTAAATCCTTTCTACATATGCACTAAATTGGATTCATTTCTTCTCCAAACTTTCCTAAAACACACTCCTAGAATATTAGTTTAGTGATCAGTTCTCATAAGAATATATAGACACCAGTAAAGTAGAGACATAATGAAGATACTTTGAAAAGCTTGTGCAATTTCTTTTTCTAATCACTTTAATCTTTTTGGAGGAAAAAAGGTATATTTGGAAAGGAAAACATTAGTTTGATAAGATAATGTGTTCTAACCTTGATTTCACATTATTAGCTAATGATTATCATTAAATAAGTGTTTTACATATTGATTTTTAGGTTCGAGAAACGATGGAATATCTATGTTTTTATGTAGCAACATTGATATAAAAGTTAAGTGACGGTATTTCCAAATGGTTCCTTTAAGAATCCACCGCTCTCATGAGCAGCAGTAATGGAGTCCCGCCTTTCTTTCTTTTTTTTAAAGAGCTACTGGAAACCTGAAGTGATGATTGCCGCTCAAGGGCCACTAAAAGAGACCATTGGTGACTTTTGGCAGATGATTTTCCAAAGGAAAGTCAAAGTCATTGTTATGCTGACAGAGCTGAAGAATGGAGACCAGGTTGGTACTTTTAGTCATCTTAAAAAAAAAAAAAAAAGTCTTTCCATCATAAAACATCATTCTCCATTCTTGGATGACTTACTTGATCGCTATACCCACGTCTTTTCGATCCTCTGTCACACAGTTTCGTTGGTTCATTCTTCCCGTCTTCCATCCAGGTGGTGGCCTCCCACATCTGTGTGTGAGCGCTGACAGCCCCACACACCCCCCCTGTAGTCCTGCGCACGGAGATCCCAGGGCCAGCTTGCTAAGAACAACAGGCAACAGCCACGTTTTCCTTCCATTTTCCTCAACATGAAAACCAAACTGCTCAGTCTGGGATTTAAGACTCTCAATAACCTGGCCCACACCTATCTTTCCTTTTTCACCATGTTTTTATGTTTCCCATACCTTCCACTCTGGACAAGTAGATTCACTGACTGAATCTCAACACACCATTTGCTTCTCCATCACCGAGTCTTAATTTAGTGACATCATATATACCTAAACGTGCCCTCTCTTCCCATTGTGATGCTATTGTTCTAGCATGATGAAAACATCTGAAAAACTTGTCTAAATCCTGCCTTCTTTATGTCCATGTAATGTTGCTGTGAAATTCTGTCGCTGGAGGTGACCCTAAGGTCTAATTTGACCTTCTGCTTAACGCCTGTGATGCATATTTGATCCTTTCCTTAATGCTTTGAATTATCAAAATAATTCAATCCTACTAAATCTTACCACCAAACACATCGGCTGACCCATGTTAAAGCTTTCTTAATGAGTAGTGTCATGAGCGTGCCATTCTATTACATGCGTTCTCTCTCTCTTTTCCCTGGTCCCCTACCCTGGACATCGATAGCTGTTTCTTATTTTTTTTTCTTTTTAAAAGAGAAATATGTTTATATTTCGAGCATGTAATTCTAGCAGTCTTTTCCTTCGTCTAACTTGTAAGAGCTGGGAAAAGGGCCAGGAGTGCAGGCAGGAATACCTATGGTCAGCAATTGTGGGACTGCAGTTGATGGAGAACCATTTGCACAGAGGACACACTTTTGTGATTCATTCGCTCGCCAAGCTTAATGTAGATATTCAGTCAAATTATACAGATAGAGCTGCTGATGGTGCCACTCACCAAGACACAGAGACGAAGCTCCGGCGATGCAGACTCCTTCCTCAGGACCACTGCGGGGACAGTGAGGCCCATGTGACTGCAGGGCCATCTGTCAATGGGGAAGAGGTGATGATAAGAGTGTGGACAGGAGGAACAAATCTCAAAAGGCCTACCCTAGTGATGACAGGGCCGTTCCTGGGTGTCTGGCCATCTTGGTCACGCCTAGGTTCCCTGATGTGCACAAGGAAACACCATGTGTTTGTTGAATGGATTTTCACCATATTTAAAATAGATTTTAGAACAGTAATTTCAAATAGGACAGGGGGAAGGAAAAGAGGAGAGAGAGAGAACACTTGTGTAGAAGTCACCGAATCACGTTCTTTCTTATCTAGGAGGCCTGTGCTCAGTACTGGGGAGAAGGAAAACAGACGTATGGAGACGTAGAAGTTGATATGCAAGAGACCAACATTTCTCCAGCTTATACCCTCCGTGTGTTCGAACTGAGACATTCCAAGGTACGTCAACAATTTCAGGAGCGTATCTCTGTGATGTAACTGCTCTGGCAGAAACGCGAAACTACGCCACGAAAGCAGAGCCACTGTCTATACAGTGCTTGCAGAATAAAACCTTAAAATGATTTAAATGAAAGGCATTGCAAAGAAAGAACATGACGCTCCGATTAGTCAACGGGCTGAAGTTCACTTGGGCTCATGTTCCCTTCACTTCTGGTTTCAGAGGAAAGAGCCCCGCACTGTGTACCAGTACCAGTACCACAACTGGAAGAAGGAGCAGCTTCCCACAGAGCCCGGAGAGCTAATCTCCATGATTCAGGCTCTCAAACAAAAACTTCCCACGAGGAATTCCGCCGAAGGAGGGAACAAGTATCACAAGAGTGCTCCTCTCCTGGTTCACTGCAGGTGGGTGGGGCTTGACACCACACGCTCCCAAAATCGCCATCACAGGCGACGTCCTGTTAGCCTCCTGATCCTGATAGTGGAAGACGCGCCGCCACAGTGAAAGCCTGTTACGGAGTCAGCCGCTTTCTCGGTTATGTCCTATAGCATAACTATTCTAGAAATAGGGCAGAAACGATTATGTTGTAGTGTAATAATTTTAGGCTGTGAGTTCCTTAATACCTTGAGTCCCCAGTGACTAACATTGAACCTGGAATGTCATATGTCCCGAAGGAATTAATGAATGAGTGGAGGGAAGTTTGAGCAGGTGGATGGGTATTATGTTTGATTTATGCATCAATTCACTTAGTAGGTATTAACAGAATCCAGAGGACTGAATGCTTAGCCTTCAATAAACATATGTAATATAGTATTACCTGAAATCTTACTGCTTAGCCACTTTGGTTTGAAACCCTTCATTTGGTTTTCTATACTGACCCCAAAGGCGAAGGTTTTAATAATATACATAATTGATTTCATTCATTTGTTATGCAGACCCTTAACTTTCATCTGTGATAGATGCCTCAATATCTACCTTAAATAAGAGATATAGTGAAAGGAGGCATACTATAAAACGTTTACAGAAAAATATTAAAGTGAGAAATGAAAAATAGTAAAGTAAAAAGAAATGTAAACACAGTGAAATGCTTTTAGAATTTTTGAGAAAGCTTCATAATTATTAGAATTACGTACACTAGACTCGAAATCTTAGAGATATACTACTTTTCAACATTTGCTTGTCTTTTCAAAGGTGAGATCTGTGTGGAAAGAAAGCTAAAGGAGAGTTTAGGCTTTAAAACTTCGTGTTTCTGAGGACATGGTTGAATACCGACTATGTGTTCCCTTGTTATATATGATAAACTCCTGCTAGTGACGTATTCTTTACATTAGATCTTTATCATAATGTAACATCCTTCTCCCAGTTGAGTAAATCATTTGGTGGCCCTCTTTTTAATGAATTCCACCAGGTATCATTTTTCTATGGATGCAGGAGAAAGGACTTGGGTTCAGTGGTTAACAAAATCTCAGTTCCAGTACGTCTGGTGCCATCATCTCACCAAACCTCGGTGTCCCCATCTATCAAATTGGCATCTTTGTCCTAACAACCTCAGATGTAAATAAAAATGCATTAGAATCTATAAAGCACTCAACAGAAGAAAAAATATTTTTAAAGCCCAGTATTTTTAGACTATATGATTATTATATTCTCAAAAAAATGCTTTTAGCAGAAACACTGGGCTCTTAAGGGACTGGCATAAAATAATACAATAAGCATGAAGTGAAGAATAGAGTCCATCTCTCTCTTTCCACCCCTCGTCTACTGTCATTTTCTCCATGAAATGTAGAATTACTACCGTTTTATCTTTTCTTCCTTTTCTAGAGATGGCTCTCAGCAAGCAGGAATGTTTTGTGCTTTGTTAAACCTCTTGGAAAGTGCGGAAACAGAAGAAGTGGTAGATGTTTTCCAGGTAGTCAAGTCTCTACGCAAAGCCAGGCCGGGAATGGTCTCCACATTTGTAAGTTTCCTTCCCTCCTATTCACTTTTCTATTCTTCTATTTACCTTCCATTTTTACGTGGTAATTCACACTCAATTATTCCCAATATGATCAGAGACCTAATTCGAGTTTGCCAGCGATCTGCTGGCAGACATTTCTTTAAGGCCTTCTGAACGCCTCAGTCCTCCCACCTTCAATCCTGTGTCAATTTGTGTCGCTACCCCAAAACTTAGTGCCTGAAAAAAAATAACCTTTATTATAGTTCAAGGTCTGCTGGTCGTGTCAGGCCGAGGCCATCCATCTGGGCCAGGCTCAGTCAATTTCTGGGACCACTGGTGGGTCCAGAATGACCCCATCTGTCAATAGGCCAGCAGTTGGCTGGAGCTTTGCAGTGGCCACAGGGGCATGTGGGTCACGTGTCTCTCCTCAGCCGGGAGCCTGGCCCAGGTGTTTCCACACGAAGGCGCAGGGTTCCGCGAGGGTGAGCCAGCCCTCAGGCGGCCAGGGCTGGGAAGGGCACAGCGTGCCTCCCTCCGCCTGTTTCCTAACCAGCCACACGGCCAGCTCGTGGGGTGCGGGTGGGCTCCGCCTGTTGCTAAGAGGGCCTGCAAAGTCCCATCACAGAGATGTGGGGAGGCAGAGAGGATAAGTGTGGCGCCTTGGAAATCAAGCTCACATGCAGCCTCTGTAAGTGGTAATGACCACAGCTGATAGTCTAGGAATTGGTAAGTAGTCACAACACAAACTTCACTACTCGCGCAAATGCAGGCAGCTTTTAGTTAATTGTGTATGACGTCGACCGCACCTGTCTCGATTTTAAAGGTGTATGAGTGCCTACTCTGTGCTCCTGACATTAATCAATTCACTGAGGTAGTGTGAGGGCAAGGTAGATATTTGTAACAACGTAGTAAGTGGACTGACAGAGGAATCAGGGGAAAAGCATTAACGAGGTCACTCAGCTTACCTGAGGCCAGCACGATAGGCTTCCTGTAGGAGATGCCCGCCTGAGATTAGATGCAGCCAATGAGGTCCCCAAATTGGCATCCTGGGTGAAGATGCGGGAGGGACACATACGTGGCCCATCAGGATGGACGCTGGTCTGGTGCTCCTTCGGTAAATTGTGAAGAGGATACTCCAGCCTGTCGAACAGCAAGGCAAGTTAGCCGATTATGGTGTTCTTTCTCGGAAATCACAGAAGGGTGGTTTTCTGTGACCCAGGACTTGCAGCAGTTTCTGATTACCTCTTGCGAATTTTCATCGGATATAAAGACACCAACTTACTTTCTTTATTGAACTTCTCGCCTATTTCCTTTCCTAGGAGCAATACCAGTTCCTGTACGACGTCATCGCTAGCACCTACCCTGCCCAGAACGGACAAGTCAAGAAAAACACCAAACAAGAAGATAAAGTTGAATTTGATAATGAAGTGGACAAAGCAAAACAGGATGCTAATTGTGTGAGTCCAGTTGGTGCCTCAGAGAAGACCCAGGAAGGAAACAAGGCAGAGGAAGCGTCCAGTGGCCCCGAGGGGCCCGAACACTCTGCCAATGGCCCAGCGAGTCCAGCTTTGACTCGAAGTGAATAAGAAAAGACACAGACGGGGCGGCTCACAGCCGCCTAGGAAATGTTATTTCTATTTTTCTAGAAGTAGGAGGGAAAAATACAAAGTGGATTCATGAGTGCCCTTGGACCAATATTGGTGGGAAGCTTTCATTTTACTGTAGAAAATATTTAAGACAGTTATGCTACAATGTTTTGTACAGTCTCCTGCTTATTTTAAAATTTTATCTTATCAGTCAGCAATAAGGTACCTTCTTTGTAGTCTTTACATGTGTATGTGCGTGTGGTAGGGGTGAGAGAAGATGTTTTCAAGTGTGCCCTGTTTTAAAAGAAAAAACTATTTCTACTGGAAATATTAACTTAGTTTAAAGCATCTATTTTTTTTAAATCATAAATTGTCTGTGCTCTGGGTAAGGATAACATGTACATTTCTAGAATGACCTCAAGATGTCCTCCTTGTCCTCTTCATATATCTCTCTCATAGCTCATTATTTTACTTCTAGAAATAGACATAAAAGTGGTATGTGTGTAGCGTTCCAAAAAGAAAGTTAACTAAATTAACATTTGGAAACCTTATATTCCATCTGCTAGCATTTAGTCCAGGTTCTTTTCAAGCTTATTTAATCTAATTTAAAAATTTCAAGCAAAACCTACCTTTTTATCTTCAGATGGTGTTTACATTTTGCAACAAGGGTTATTCTCTGATACTTTGACCCAAAATTATGTTTGTTACAATTGAACTTAAATAAACTTCTTTAAAGAAATGCAGTATACATTAAATCCATAAGATAAAAATAGAATCATGCAAATGTATTTGTGCTAAATATTTACATATGAAACCTAATATAGCTATGTTTATAGAATAAAACATTGACATGAGGCATATACATATTCTCCATATTAAAGTTCATCCTTGACTTTCACTGAAGTGCATTTACTTTGAGTTTCTCAAATGCTTAAACTACTTTTTAACAAGAATTTCTATCATAATAAAATTCCACCATTATCTTTTCTTGTAAACATGTTCGTAAATGAGTTATATAAGCACATGTAAAAATATAGGCTATGCAATTAACTTCTGTAGAACTGTTTTCCAGGCCTCAAAACTTTTTTTAAAATGATCTATAATTTAATAATGGTTTACGATGTACAAAAAAGATCATAAACAAAGCGCCTTGTATTGAATTCTGCATGAGCTTATACATTAGTCACACACTACCTTCACTCTCCTGATTTTATTTTTAAAAACTTTTAATCTAAAAATCATGTTTAATATAGTATAGTTGACATTGGTTAGGCTCCTGACTGATGTTCAGTGTCTTCACTACACATCATGAGTTGCTTTCCATTCAACTCACCTTTATCTCGTGTTCATCTAATTCTTTTATTGTACACACAAAACCAGCAATAGTATATAGTATCTGTTAACATATGAAAAGAAGTGAATTTTCGAATGAAGCAATACTTTCTAATTTATATTGTTTACTTACTAATGAGAAAGGGGTGTAGGGGTGGAAATCATCAGTTTTAAGCACCAGAAAGAAACAAAGTTTGCTTTCCCTTCTCTCATGCCTCAGTTTCCCCCCCTGAAATTTGACTTGCTGTCCTTTACTGGAAAATGTAGTTAAAAGTTAAAATGCACAGTTCTCATGCTCAGCAGACTACTGTTATATGTGTCTATTTTATCTGCGATCTAATTCAAAATACAAATAGGAAAAGTTAGAAATTCTCACTAAGCTACAAGTAAAGATTTGATTCAGAGGGTTTCAGCTGCAAGGGACATGTGTGTTTCAAATGTGTAGTTTCCACTCGAGTCTATTTTTTTGAGACGATATAAAATACTTAGAAAATACAGCCATGGGGATCGCTGTTGGTTTAGAAGCAAGCTGGAAAGCTTTGCTCCCCTGCATGTGAGACACTGTGATCAGGGAGAGCTAGGTCCTGGTTCAGAACTGACACAATACTTCCTGTATCATGACTTGTAAATAAAAATCATCACTGTAATCACGATAACTAACATTTCCTGAGGCACGATCTATGCCAGGTAGTAACAGTTTTACCTGCATTTGCTTCTTAAGACAAATTCTACGCAGCCCGTACTCTCGGTGTCTCCATTTTATGGGTGAGGAACTGAAGTATAGAGTGAGTTCGGTCCCGGCCTTTTATGACACATTGAGCAAGTGACAGTCAGGGTTGGAAACAAAACCACATATAATATATGCTCTCAACAACACTGTACAACATGGTAAGCTTAGCCGAACTCACAACATAGACATTATTATGCAAAAATCAACACACTCTTAAACATCCCTGGGAAACGATTGTTTTCATAATATATACAAAGATCACCTCATCACTAAAGTGAGTACCAGGAAATAAAACACAATAAGTCACCAATGTCAGTTCCATTGTCTCTCAATTTGGGAATCAGAACACGTGCTTACCCTGTGGGTCCCATTTCAGTACGTTCATCGCAGGATTATCAGTCAGGACTTGAAACAAGCTACCAGGGCACCATGATATACAAACCACAGTGATGAGGGTATGACTCTTTCTCTGGTGAGTGAGTCCCAGGGACCTCGGGTCCCACCCGGGATGCCAGGGGACCACAAATAAACTTTTTATGGAAAATAGCACACGCATTTTGCTCCAGAAAACCCAGCCCTTTCTTGGTTCATATGTAGTAAAAGTGGGACCTCTGGTACAATTACATTTAATTTTCCAGGAAAAGAGAACTCGTTGGGTTCAATCATATCTCTTGGGTAGACTAGGCAAATCTGATCCTTACAGGCTGATGCCTTCTCGAAGAATAAAAACACTGTGCTGGATTTTTATGGATTGTGTAAGCCGGTCATGCACACACTGTCAGATGGGGAGATGGCGTACTAAGAAAGGGGACAATCTGCCCACTATTGACACAGGCAAAGGTGGGGTAGAATGGGATCACCCTCAGAACCCGTCCCCACTGGTTCACTGTAGGGTTTCCCTACGAGATACTTGGGTAACTGTGTACCGAGCATTCTTATTGGTAATCAGTAATTCAGATTTTTCATTAATTCAGACTCTTACCCCTCATGAGTTTCATTTCACAGCTTTTGTAATATGTTAGACATCATAACACAGAAAGGGGAGAACTTGATTATTATAGTCATAAGAAATTGACGTGTAGTCAATCCCTTTATAAAAGAGTTTCCATTTATATTTAATTATTTGCTTTCATTGCATTGACCACCTAACCTAAACACAGGGATGGAAAACAAAAAAAGATGCAGAAGATTTAAGACCAAACATTTGGATATTTTTGAGATAACAGAAAAAAAACAAAAAAAAATTACGCTTACTTTGAATTGACTTGGCCAACAAATCTCCCATCAGGCCTCATATATCGTGGTGGGTTGTCATATACAATTGCACAGAATGGTAAGCTACTGAAGGTAATACTGTGAAATGGCAGAGCAATGGTTATTTTTACATCATCTCTTGAAAGCATGCTTCATACACATACACATACACACACACACACACACACAGTTTTCTCACACGGATTCAGTCTCAGGAGGTCACCAGTTAACAATCCAGATCTTCATCCGGAAGCTTCTTAACTTTGATCCCTATATCATTTTGGAATTTTAAGTAATCCTCAATCACTAGTTGCCCTCTTGAAAGACACACGTACAGCATGAAGGGCCACGTTTAGCTCAACATCCAAGAAGCATTGTTTGCAACAGCTAGAGGCACGTGAATTATGGGAGAGATCACATGTCAGTGATATAAACACAGTCAGCTGGCATCTGGCACTTCCAGCGTAAGCTCAAGTTGGTGGGTTTCTCCTCAGATAGTCCAGTGTTTCTCGACTGGGCTCACAGTGGGTTTTAGTTTTATAAAAGGAGTTCTTAAATGAAACAAGTTATTTTTGTAAATAGAACATGCTTTGGCAGTTTTCTCTCTGTTTAAATCATGGAAGTCAAATTTCTCTTTGATGAGAGTCAGTGGGAAATTTTATTTGTTCCTTCGCAAGGCAGCAAAATATTTGTCCACAATTTAAATGCAGGAAGTTAAAACAGGTCAACACTGGTCAAATCACCAAGTTCAGTCTCATTACTAAAACCCACTAAGTTCCCCTCTACAGATCTTTATTGTGTGTTTTAATCCAATGCCCTGTAGTCATTCAGAGAACAAATGAATTTCAGAAATAAAACCAGCCCTGCATTTACACAATTTAAAGGAAGAGATTAATTTTATCTAGCATTGCAAGGTGACAGACACACTTTGTAGGCTGTTGATTACTTAACATAATTCTATGGAGATTTACATACAAGGTATCTTTCCAGGAATATCATCGGACATTTGTGTCTTGCGATTTATCTAGCAGCTGAAATGATTATTGTAAGTACAAGACATGCTTTGATAGTCATTTTCACAAAAGGAAACAAAAACAAAAGAAATGAGAACCGGGCATGGTCCTGAATTCCTCGTGACTCCCTGGAGAGCTCGAGTCCTCCTCCCATCCCAATCCTTCCCTTTTCGCTGAGCCTGACTTGGAATCCTTGCACACGACATCCATCACCAGCGCCCACGCACTCCCGACAGCCAAGCCCGTGTCAGTCAGCTCCCCCGTCACCGTTCCCACGCCCATGTCTGCAGCTCCTCTGCTCGGCGCTACCATTATTTTGGAAACCTTACTTACTTATTGGCTGATTCCCAACCTGACTCCGAGCGTGAATCAGGACCTCGCGTGGTGAATGGGTTCTTTTCCTGTCCTAGGTTGAGCCCCTTCTTTGGTCCTCTTCCACGCTTGAGTCATCCCCACGACCCCTACTGTCATCAAGTGCCATTGACTCTTGCACAAAAAAAACAAACAAGCAACAAAGAGAAGCCACTCGGCTGAATTTCTTTTCATCCATTTTACAGTATATTTCAATCCTTCTAAGCTCACTTTTCCGCTCCTGTCTCAGAAGAGGTGTCCCCTCGGCTTTATTGGGCCAAACTCATCACCTGGAGTATTTAGGGGTTTTAAGAATAAGTATTGTTTTGTAACACAGACACATTCTTCTTATATAAAAGCAAGCAATACAGAAAAGCACCAAGACAGAAGTAATAAGCCATCCCAACTCCGGTGGAAAATGGTCAAAGGAGTAGAGAGTTCACGAACAAGAACTGCGAAAGGCCCTAAATACAACAGAAACACTTGACCTCACTCAGGTAAGGGAGATGCGAAGTAAAACTACGCGGAGACAAGTCTCAATGGAAATTGTACAGAAGCGTGTCCACACCCTGTCCTCCGGGGCCATGGGGGAAGTCAGGACTTCAGTGGTTTTTATCAGCACAAAATAAACAGCCCGCCCTACCGCGGGCAATGTGGCAGTGGTTATTAAATCTGCAGATGCGTTTCCACTTTTACTTAGAAGCCTCACCTCTCATAATTTACCCTCCAGAAATGTCTCTACAGTTCACAAGATGTCATACGGACAAATTACTTATTACATCTTTTTTGAAATTGGAAATTATTGGAGACAAACCAAATTGTCCCCAGGCTATCAGCCAAAAGACCCGGTCGTTTCTCAACACCTAATCTATGTCACCACCCAGATTTGCTTGCAGTGGGTGCACCTTCCATGGCATCTGTGCCCCCCTGTGTCTTTTCTTCATCATGATTCACCCTGACAGTGAGCTTGTCACTTGCCTTTCAAGCACCTGGCACAAGTTAGGCTCTGAGGACACTTTAACAGAAGTGTTCTTAAGTGGAAGGAAGCCGGTTTGTGGGGGACTCTGTGGTCTGCCACAACCCCATCCAGAGAGCAGAGCTTAACTGCTGTGGCACTGAGGGGTACAGCCTGGGGGACATCCTCCCTCCCACAGGAAGGGGGCGTCGCAAAGGAAGCGCAAAGAGCCACAACCTGGGCATCGCCTGCACAGCTTTGTC